CCCCAAAACCCCAAAACCCCGCTATAGAAATATTAACAAAATTATAAAATAAATTAATTTTATAAATTGTAAAATAATTAAAGGCAATTAAGTTTAATGGAACCATCTAATAATCACTAAAATTACTACCGAGCTAATGCTAATGAAGAGCGTAAGGGAGACTTTAAAGTCACAATTGATCATTTTAATCATGGTACATTCTTCCGATATAAAAAGTAAGATTTCCCCATTGAAATACTAAATAACTAATAGTGAAAAATTGCAAATCAGTGAATACTTAGATATTCTGCGCAGAAGAGAGGAAGCACAGAGACTAGAGAATCTAGACACCGAAGACAATTCAAATGATGACTAGGCTGCCCAAGTTCCATAAAAGACTGATAAAAACCAACTGAATTGGCAAAAGATTGTTGATATGCTATAGTAAGTCTTAAAAATACTGTATCACATGTTAGCTCTTCGAAATTGCAAATGGACATGCTTAATGATATGAGCAAGTGTGCAGTAAATAAACTAGACCCTTAATACCAGGAGAAGATGATTGAGTATAACATTAACCAGGATTTAATGAACAAACAGCAAGCAATCGATCATGCCTAGTCAATACTCTCGCTAGATTCCTGCATCGATAGAGTTTCATAGTAGATTTAACTCATTCAAGAGCAACAGAAACTAGATAAGCAGGAATTTGATTACCTTATGTTCCTTCGCAGGAAATATCTAATCATTGATATTCGTAAGGATCCCTATTTAGGCAAATCTTTTGCAAAGTAGCCAGTTGGACTTCTACAGCAAAAACACTATGTGATCACCTTGAACTTCAAGAGCTTTATGAAGCCAAAGTGCAAAGCAGCCCAGAAATAGATCAGCAATCATTACTTGACAAAGAATTAAGAGTTAATGAGAAGAGTTATAGTCTAGGTAACAAAAAATAACCACATATCATTGCATTTCCACCCTAAAATCAAGGAGAAATAGCTTCTCTATCTAAAGCTGACAATAAATGTGAAAAATATTGAAGAGAAGGAATAGTCACTAGAAAATAAGTTGTTTGAATATTCTGAGTAAACATATTACTTTGACTTTAGTGATGTTGAGAAAACAGAGAAAATAGACAGAGATGCTGATCAACTTAGCAGAGGATCCTCGAAAAATAAATTAAAAATAGAATAACTAGATAAATAACTAAAGCTAGGTATCAGATCATTAATGCTATATGATCTCTTTTACAAGGCAATCCAAGAAAAGGACTTCAATTTAAACTCCTATCCAATAAATATAGACATTGATCAAGATAAGTATTTAGTATGCACTAAACTTTACCTAATGAATGTAATGAAAATCAAGGTGAAAATGGAATTTTCAGATTTAAAATTTGAAGAAGCTTTAAACCAAGATTGCTAAGATGATGCTCATATTCACTTAAACAAATCAGCCATGCGCTAGTTAATACTGAATTTAGCTGAAAATACGCATACAGCTAGTGTAATTAGGAATCTTTACTTCATATTAGTGAAGAAGTACCTTAGTAATCTGTTTTCTACAGTATTTGAAAACATATGTGGCTTTAGAGACATCTTTATTTCAACCAGATATAACACTTATGAAGATATATCCTGGGATATAAGCAAACTCAAGCAGAGACCAGAGGTTCAGCCTAGATCTAGGGAATAGGATAATCAGGCAGGAATGATGCTGATCAACTAAATAAACTACAATTTAACTTGTTTCCTAAACCCCAGGATAACTATATACATGAATCAGCGATTTCAACTTACTGTTAAGGAAGATGAATTAGAGGGGCTGAGAAATACAGATACTGATGCCGAATAGATTCAGTTTATTAATTTCTTCTTTACTAAGAAACCTTTGAACAGTTATAGTGAATTAATCAGGATAGCAAGGTAATTAAAAGATCTCACTGAAGATGTATTTCAATGAAATATATTGTAATTAATTAGTTTACATCTATAAAATTTACCTGCAGTTAAATTCCAATTTAATTAGAACTATGGGGTTTTGGGGTTTTGGGGTTTTGGGG